ATGTTAGCTGTTCACAATGACCGTAACACGTACAAGACCAGTGTGCATCGATTAAACAAACCTTTTCCAGCTCAGTAAGGAAACTGTCCATAGATTCGTCTGAGAGCTTTCCCACTTCAAACATTGTTACTGCATGGTTCTTCAAACCCTAATGAAATGAGAGCACACTGTTATAACTCGAAACGATGCCAATTTGTATACCTCCATACATAGCCATCATTTAATGCACTAAAAGGTGACACTAAATAATAGTAACCACAACTACTGACAGAAGTCCCGTATGAAGCACATTTATGTAATAAATACTCACAATAGATATATGTAAGGGCTATCAAAATCCATTTCAAGCTCCTTTAAAGGTTACCCTATGTAACATAGCCAAGAAATACTTAGGCACATATTAAATAGTAATATCCCATCATCACCAATAAGCTAAACGATGAGAGATATCATTTCTTGCACATTGGGTTTAACTCTAGACAACCGCATATATGTGATTAAATATCATGAACTCATATTCAATATGTCTAATTTAGCACAAGAAGGTTCTATGAGCATAACCAACACAGACATACTAACTTAGGATAGCAATAAACATAGGCACAACCGGACACATGACTTTCCCTTCTAGCTACACGATCTATACAACATTGCTTACCGGAGATAGGTTTCCCATCATAAGGAATGCGGTAAGTGTTGAATCAAAGAGGAATGCAATGCGCTTTGTATGTCCCGTACTCAGTAAGGCAGCTGAATCTGCAGTACAGAATAAACCATAGAACGTGAAGCTGTGTTTCATTACAATTCTATAACTTCACATGATTTACTCTCCCTCCCAGTCACATCATCAGTATCACTACATCACATGACTGCATCGTATCACCACATCACCTGGTACCCCCCCCCCCCCAACACCAGCTAATGTTTGATAATGAATTTTATTAAGGAACTTTATTTTAATCAATCAATATTATCTAGGTTACCGGAGTCAACTTCGACGCTGGCAGCAGAGTTGGAATCTCCGAGGGAGGGCACAGGTTTACTCTCACTGATCACGTCCTGGCTCTCGCTCGCTATCACCATATCCCAGTCAATGAGTAGCTGCTCTGTCTCCTGCCTGCAGTGGAAAAAGATGTGGTAGACCAACAACAAAATGGCTAAAAATATATATACACACGGATGCACACTATGGTATACACAATGTCTCCTGCCTGTAGTGGAAAAAGATGTGGTAGATCAACAACAAAATGGCTAAAAATATATATACACATGGCAATGCAGATATACACAGTTAAATTAACTGAAAAATTACCACTAACCCTAACCTATTGCAAACCTAATCCTAACCCTAACTTGTAAGTACACAAGTAAGTCCACAGTTTTTGTACTCAGGTAGACAGACCCTTTCAGCTCCAGTTGACGAATTCTGGATTATACCCAGGTTTCATCCTCATCAAGGTTGTCAAAAGTCGAATGTAATGCATTGACAAATTAGACTCATTCAGGATAGTTGTTCACACGACAAGTACTAGACAGATCTGGTGCTCACTTTTTTGTGTTGGGGGTGTAGTCATTCCATGAGGGGTGTAAATTCGCTAGCTCCAAGTCACTGGTTTTCTTTCGTGCAAAGCTAAGTCGACAGAAGACTGATACGGCATTCTTCACAAGTCCAAGGTCGATTTCAAGCACATTTGCAAGCTGTATGCGTGTATAAAAAGCAGGCAATGAATATATCGATCAATCAATGTCAATCAATATAAATATTGAATATGTTTATGGATACTAGTCAAAGGAACACAAACAATAACTGAGTGTCATTCATATGTACCTCGGCGATGTTGGTGTGCTCATCAATAGACACGAATATCTTGTACAGCAATGTTTCAAAGTAATCGCCAAGGACTCTATTCATAACGAAGCCTTCAAGAGGTGGAACTGCCAAAAAGGACACATATTGGTAGGTGCATCAATGCATAATTTAGTTTGTAACATGTAGAGAGGTACTGGATCTGGATAGCGTTGTACTTTTGTGTAAAAATAACATTTGGACATTTTCACAAAAATGACATATAAAGCAGATACCTCATGCAAGTCACTACTGTTGATGGACAGAGTCGTTTTATGTTAGCTGTAAAATTTCACAAGTAATAATTTTTCTTTATCAGAAAAGCATGATGTTTAGGAAGAAAACACGACTAGAAACAGGCTTACACAATTCCCCCCCCCCCACTAAAGATTTAGCCATGAGACGGAGAATTAAGAATGAAACCTGACAGATACAGATATAATGTCAAAACAAATCAGCTAGTTACCAGTAATGCAGTCATCATCTTCTATGGGCACATCAAGGTAGAATAGACCTCTATTGAATAACCCTGTGATGCAGATGACAGCAATGTAATGACAAACAACAGCAAGCTCCACTGTGTAGTTATCATATGACAACACATATAAACACACCACACTATGATATAGTACAAATATTTTTCATTTCAATTTCCTCACATTTTGACGACCAAACATCTCAGCTAATTTACTAAGGAAATGGTAGTACTTACTGTGTACAGTGTTAAAGTGCATGTCTCCAGCTCTCAGCGGTCCATTGTCAATAACATTATCAACTGCCTTTTTCTCATCTGGAGTACACATCTTCACACACACAAAAACATACACGCATTTAATTAAAGGTGGTTCACAATGACTAATATTATAGAAGTGTATCTTTATAAATTTATAAATATTGGTTAACTTTTTAAATCACATATGTAGCCACCGTATTAGGCTTCATACACATATAATATGATAGATATTAAATTTAAAAATGTTAGATCAAGATAATGTACAATAATGCCATCAGTAAGTCACACAACCAACAGAGGAAGGTCAGAAGGTCCTACTAATTAATAATGCTATAGAGTATAGAGCAATGGTTCCCAAACTACTGGGCCACTAAGTCACCCTTTGGGCCACCACCTAACTGGCTTCATAAACTAATCCCCAATACCCTCTACTCACTCCACAGAAACCCTTGCTTCTTATCACCCCCTAGGTGATCCCACAGCCTCCAGGGGGCAGGACTGCCCACATTTGAAACCACTAGTACAGAACATTACACACCAGATGCAGACACTGTGCCCACCAACACTGACCTTCATGTCGTCCTCTGTGATGTAGCCGGGCTGCACGATCCACCATGGCTCGATGTTGATATCATCTACCGGCTTCACGGGCAGGAGATCTTTGACTGGCTTACGGCGGAAAAACTTCTGCAAAACCCAACACATGTTGTCCTCATCCAGTCGGCCTCTTAACCCCTCACGAGAGCCATTGGACCTACGATTGAATTACTCATGCTTAGCATTACAGGAGAATGCCAGAACCGAGAATTATCCCAGTGCTTCCGGTAGAAAACAGTGAAAGTTCATCTCGACTTACTTTGGAAGACCTGCACTGGTTCATGAGCTCAATGTACTGGTTGCGACCGATGCCGAGCAAACGCAAGCAATCAGCTGCCGTGAAGTTGGGTAGTGAATCGTAGCTCTTCTCCTGTGACATTATGTCCTGAAAGAAGACACATCACAATATAGCAGAGAATGTGCATGTATGCTAGATTCACGCTCGTCCGAGGTCATCGATGCGACGTGCGTAAATGCTCTACGTATCTTTTGAAATAAACTTGCTTAGTTCAGTTAAATATGCTGTTTCCTATTAGTTGTTTCACATCCATGCTTCTTTGAGTGCACTCAAGTACACTGGCATAATTTCAGACTTTACAACTACACAAACGATACGATTATGTCACTACACAGACTATATGATTACAAGACTGACTGACTATACACGAGACTACGTAACTATATGAATATAGGGACTATACAAACTTTTTAACAATACAAGTGTACAAAATAACTGCCTGTCTCTCAGTCCGACACTAGTACCCTTTGAGTGGGACCGGTTAATGTTTAAAATTTTTCTGTAGGGTTAAAAAAAATTCGAAATCAGGACTGCATGGGTTTTCAGAATTATTTCCGAGACCGACTATATGAACTATGCAACTATACGAACACACCTGCATGATGCCCAGGTAGTAGGAGAAGGGTGTGATTCGCAGACCTTTCACGTGTACGTCAGAGAGGTGGTACGGGTAGAGCATCAGGTGCTCACGACTGTACTGCAGTACCTCCTCATAGTATTTCTTCTCATCACGCTTCACCTGACGCACTGCATACACGCACACGAACCGTCGATGACGAGCGAAGAAGTCGTTACACGACGCGAAATCGACAAGATACGAGCGACGTTTGAGTGCAATTAAAAAATAACAGGGTGACAGGGCTCCTCATTGTAATTACTATGCTTGTTATTAAAAAATGTCTTCCAAAATCATTATCTTAGCATATTGTGAACCTTGTGACTGACCACAGCTCTTCATTGGCAGTTATTTTTTTACATTATTGATGTGCTGGTATGTGACCGAATCCCCCAACAATATCATAAACTAGATATTTTTGTTTGAATTTGTTTTTAGCATAAAAGTAAATAATAAACAGTTGAAAATAATTTGAAAGTTTTCCACATTATCCACCATTTCCATTTATCACCAGAAATTCGTGCTCATGGGTAAATTTTGTACCAGTTGTTGAACCACAAAGCTCCTCTACTTCTTCTTCTACCTACCAACACCTGTACCTTCTCTCCCTCTGTTACATCCCATGCCCTCTGCCACTGCCCTCCAAACTACATCCTCTCACCCTCCTCTACCATCCCCCCTCAACCTTCCTTCAGAGAATTTCCAATCTTTGAAATGGTCTTCACAAGCACAAGCATTCGTGAGTGTAAAGTATAATCATAGATGCATATAGAGGTGAACATACCCAAGTTTCCCTTATAGCGTAGTTGGTTCTGCACACTATACTTGACAACAGATTTGTCGTATTCCTTTTGCGAGTTCCCAAGTGCCTGGATAACAGAGCAAGAGGAGACTATTGGAAGATATTCCAAGTTTTTCATGAAATGGCTCAATATAGTAGGTTATCAATGGCAACAGGGAAAGCAGATGTAGTTTGAAAAAAATCTGCAAACAATAACTGTAAACTATCAACATAAGCAATTGGACATATAAAAAGTGTCAATTCCAGGTTAAAGTTCAGAGACAGCAGTGTAAATAAAAGTATCAGTGAATGTCACTGAGAAACTGCCTGTTTAGTTTCTAAACCAAATTAGAAAGTTATATATGAATTTAAGTATTTAAATAGCTTAGTCAATTTACTAAGAACTTGACAAAGGGTAAAGAACAACACAACACACACAAGCTGAATGTTATCGTTTATAAGCATTACAGATGCCTATTTAATCATTTCTTCTAAAATAAAAATGCCATCTAAAGCACTACAATCTGCTGCTGTGCCAAAATAGGCTCTGTTCTGAACCATCCTGAGCGAGTTTACAGTACTCTGTCAAACCCCGATCCCCCTGCTAAATTTTTGTGCCCCCTCTGTTGGATCAAGGAATATTGGCAGTGACCAACAGAGGTGGCATAACACTGAGGCTCAGGGCATATGTACGGTGGCCCATATAAACAAAACACAAGTACGCAGGTTAGCATGTTGACAAACATATAAAGTTTAAAACGAAGCAAATAAGTTTCAAGACAAACACATTTACGGACGCCATGCAACTGCAACTTCATTTGAATGCAACACATGTTCGCAAGTATGCAAGTAAACAAGGCAAAGCAACTAATCAAATCAAATACAAGTTTCCTAAACGAAAATAGGTGGCATCACTAGCGCCCTCCACCACCTCCCCCACCATCGAGATTTCGTGTTGCACCCACCCTCACCCACCAGTTTCCGTTTTGCAACTTGCTGTTTGCTTGCGTACTTGTGTTTGCGTACATGCGTGCTTGTGTTTTGTTCATATGGGCCACCGTACATATGATATTGTGCAGTCGAGCAGGATTATACGGGATGTGAAACCTGTTTATGGCTGCACTATCCTCAAAATAAAACAAGATTAAGTTCCTGCACAAATACTATATCTAACCAACACTACCATTTGGCGACAACCAAGTCAGTAACTGTAATGAATATGAACACAGAAAGAAGAGACTCTGAGACCACAGGCCCTTGGAGGATCAAGTTTCAAGAAGCGTATAAGAGCGAAGCGTATAACTAGTATAACTAAGTATACCTAACTATAAGCGAAGCGCTTCGCTCTTATACTCTTCTTGAAACTTGAGCCTCCAAGGGCCTGTGCTGAGACTGAGATCGACTGTCTGACTCTGAGTTAGCTCTAGTAGTAGTAAACAATGCGTTATAATAACAATGCGTCGCGCAAGCGATAGTGCCCGCTAAGGCGGGCACTATCTCTTCATAATGCCTGCTGCGTTATCCAATGAGATTGCAGCGATTCATCACGTCATGCACTAATTAATAATAATTGAAACAAAAAACCAATTAAACACATTATTAAAAATATGTTGTTAATCAAATTGAAGGTTTTCTAATTAAATGTGCCTTTGTATGTATAACTAATATTGAGGCATTTCCCTCCCTGAGATTCAGATTTATCAGCGTGACGCCCAAACGCACAAAAGCATCAACTTAACGCACGTGTAGTTCTTGTTCATAACCCTGGAACAGGTCGCTGGATCCAGCCCTAGTAAACTTTCACATCGTAAAAGATCCAAGCCCATCCCTGTGGTGTGACAAACCAAAATAAACACAAAACTGCCACAAACAAGTAATTTAAATATATCGAAACATGACAGTACAAAAAATAGTGTGGCCAGCTGATTACTGAATTTATGTAAATGAAAGTGTCAATGACACTATAGCTCACATTCGGTGTGATAGAAGAGGGAATAATATTTAAAATTTGGTAAGTGTTTCATTTATGACAGACCAAAATGTGATCAAATGTCCTTATTCCCCGGTATATACTAACTCGCAAAATGGCCGCTGCTTGTTACGCTGATGAGACTCTGATTTCTCTATATCCCGCCCCCGATTCATAGTAATCTTTTAGTAAAATATTGACTGGATACGAAGACAATAATACAAGAATCCTGTTACTAACATAAAACTTTCTGTCCCGGTATATTAATTTCTATATAAAACATTTAATTGTACACACTTTTTAATCCATTGTTTTTCTCTTCAAATTAAGGCTAATATAATATACAGAAACGGCTTAATACGATTATTTTTCTTTTGGCCCGTCAGTTTTCTACTAATGGGGTTTGACTGTACTAATGATTCTTGGAAAAATGTAGGCAAACGCTTCGCAGTAATGGTTTATATCCTCCGCACGTAGTGTAGCAAAACGTATTGTTTTTGCGCCGTTTGTGTTTGTGTGTGTGTGTGTGTATGTGTGTGTGTCGTATATAATGAGTATAACTAAGTATACCTAACTACTAAGCCGAAGCGCTGCGCTCTGGCTTATACTTACTTTGCTTTGAAACTTGAGCTTCAAGGGCCTGTGCTGAGACTGAGGATCGACTGTCTGACTCTGAGTTAGCTCTAGGTCGTCAGTATCGGCACCCGGTATATAGCCTCGTTACAGTTGCCACAGGGCCACTGCCTGCGCCTGCCGGGCAACCTTACAGCGTCCGCATATAGTACAAGAGCTAACTTGCAGCTGAGCTGCTTTCATTGTCATTCCCGGGGTAAAATTATCGCAGTGTTCGCTGTGGTCAGCTACTGGATTGGTGCGCCGGCGGCACTATGCGATTCGGCGCTACGGATCCATTAGCTGCCAGCGCTGCGCCCATCATGTCGTAGACGTTGCCGCGGTCGCGTGCCGCCTTGCCGGCGGAACTGCTGAGCAAGATCTGCCGCTTATTAGCGCTTGGGAGTCTAACACCTCCTTTCGGCAACGCTTCTCTGGTATCGCGGC